TTCGTCCACTCAGCGGGGTCGCAGCTGCTTCTGGAAGGCACCGAGATGTACCTTTTTCGCGCAATGGTCAAAATCAAGGTTTTGTAACGCGAGCTGTGCTGGCAAACCCCGGAAAGTGCGGCAAAAATAAGCGCCTGCACGTGTAGGCGCGCATCTTAGCCAAGGCTCGCGCCAGCACGTGTAGGTGCTTGTGTCAGATACGCGCCCACACGTGCAGGTGCGAGCCCTAGCTAACATGAGCGCCTCCACGTGCAGATGCGCATTTGGCGAGCTCGAATATAAGCGTCTACTCGTGCAGGCGCTCGTTTACGTTTTAGCTAAGAAACGCGCCTACACGTGTGGCCGCATACATTGGCTTGAGGTGATATACGCACTTGGTGTGTGATCGATACATTTTTTAACACCTTAGGTCTCAGGAGAGCTGGAGAGGGCCGCAGAGGTTGTATTCGAGTGGAAGGCTGAGGTGGGAGGTCAGGTAGGGGTCTGGGCGGCCTACACGTGTGCAGTCCTTTTTGGGTTGACAGTTGCTCAGTGCATGACTTGCCCGGGAGGGGGGGGGGGGTCGAGGAGACAATATAGTTATACGCGCGGCCACACGTGTAGGCGCGTATCTTAGCTAAAACGAGCGCCAGCACGAGTAGACGCTTATATTCGAGCTCGCCAAATGCGCATCTGCACGTGGATGCGCTCATGTTAGCTAGGGCTCGCACCTGCACGTGTGGGCGCGTATCTGACACAAGCAGCTACGCGTGTAGGCGCGAGCCTTGGCTAAGATGCGCGCCTACACGTGCAGGCGCTTATTTTTGCCGCACTTTCCGGGGTTTGCCCCGAGCTGTGCCACAGTGAAATGGCACTAGCCCAATGGCAATGCGGGCACTAGCCGCAGCCTTCTCCGCACCTTGTTCTTCTTCCTGCCGGGCCTCTTACTCTGGTCTGGCCGATTCTTTTGCGGTATCTCCCTCTATCTATCTCCCGCTAGACTGCCGGTCCCGCTAGACCGGACGCGGAACCATCCACATCATCACTGGCTCGCGGCAGTAAGGGCACTCTCGCATCAGCTCAGAGCATGGCCCGCAAGCACACAAGTGCCCGCACGGAACCGCCGCATGCGACTTGACTCTCGCGAAACACACGATACACGTGGTCTCTCCCCCCATCGTGGACTCTGGGGCAGCCGGCCGCCCCGTGTCGAGGCCGGCGTCCGCTAGTGAGACGGCAGCAAGCGGCTCGGTGACTGGCAGATGCTGCTCCGCCGCCTCTCCCGCCTCTGGCTCGATCAAGCGCTCGATGGCGCCGACCCGCTCCTCGAGGCTGCCCTCGGTCGCCGCGCCGAGGCTCGCCTCCAGCCGCTCGACACGCTGCAGCAAATCCCCGCCGCCGCCGGTCGACTCGCTGCTCACCGCCTCTTCGCACCGCGACACCCGACGCGCCAGCGCCTCCTCTGCATCCACCTCTGACCGGCGCAGCGCCTCTGCTAGCTCCGCATCCTCGCGCAGCGCCGCCCGCTCTGCCGCACCCGCTAGCTCTGCCGCCTCGCGCTCTGCTCGCCTCGCCGACTCCTGCTCAGCAGCCAGCTGCGCCGCCCTCTCCTCCTGTGCGCGAACCTCTGCTGCAGCCCGCGCCCTCCGCTCCTCCTCGAGCTTGAAGGCGGACGGCCCCTTCTTGGCCTTATTGTTCTTCTGCTTGGCCGCCTTCTTGGCAGCCGATGCCTCCGCCGCCTTTGCACGCCACCTCGCCTTCTCCTCCTCCGCCCTCCTGTCCGCAGCCTCCTTCTCCCGCCGCTCTGCCTCCGCTTTAGCCGCGTTGCGAGCAGCTGCCGCCGCCCGCTGCTCCGCAAGCTGCGCCTCCTTTGCTGCTCGCCTGTCCGCCTCCCTCGCCCGCAACGTCTCCTCTGCTGCCGCGCGCTCAGCGGCCAGCTTCGCCTCCGCCTCCGCCGCAATGGCTCGCCTCCGCTCCTCCAGCGCCGCAGTGTCCGCCGCCCGGCGCGCCTCGTACGCCGCTCGCTCTGCCTCGCGCTGTCGTGCCGTCTGCTCGCGCTCTCGCGCCGCCGCCGCCGCCTCCCGCTCGCGCTGCTCGCGCCGCCCCTTGGCCTCGCGCGCCTTCTCGGCCGCCTTCTCTGCCGCCTCCGCCTCCCTCAGCGCCGCTGCGTGCTCTGTGAGAGCGCGCACGCACCCGGCGTGGTCCGTTTCAGGAGCACTGGCGGCGTCGGCAGTGGCTAGCACCTTGGCCGCCTCCTCCTTGGCCATCTGCAGCGCCGTCATGCCGGCCGCACAACGAGCCTTTGCATCTGCGCCAGCCCGAAGCAGGCGGAGCACGACGGCGGGGTGGCCGCTGTAGGCGGCGAGCATCAGGGCGGTGTAGCCTTTGCTGTCCTGCAGGTTGACCTCAGCGCCGTGCTGCAGCAGCAGGTCGACCACCCGCTCGTGGCCGCTGTAGGCGGCGGAATCCAGCGCGGTGCCGCCGTCGCTCCTCTGAAGGTTGATCTCAGCGCCATGCTGCAGCAACAGCTCGACCACCTGCTCGTTGCCGTTGTCGGCGGCGAGCATCAGCGCGGTGCCGCCGTCGTTCCTCTGCAGGTTGACCTCAGCGCCGCGCCGCAGCAGCAGCTCGACCACCCGCTCGTGGCCGCTGTAGGCGGCGGCCATCAGCGCGGCGAAGCCGTCGCTGTTCTGCAGGTTGATCTCCGCGCCGTGCTGGAGCAGCAGCTCGACCACCCGCTCGTGGCCTTCCTGGGCGGCGAGTATTAGGGCGGTCCAGCCGTTGCTGCTCTGCAGGTTGATCTCCGCGCCGTGCCGAATCAGCATCTCGACCACCCGCTCGTGGCCGTTCTCGGCGGCGAGCATTAGTGCGGTCCAGCCGTTACTGTTCTGCAGGTTGATCTCCGCGCCGTGCTGCAGCAACAGCTCAACCACCCGCTCGTGGCCGTTGCCGGCGGCGCACATCAGCGCGATTTCGCCGGCGCTGTTCTGCTGGTTGATCTTCGCCCCGTGCCGCAGCAGCAGCTCAGCCACCCGCTCGTGGCCTGGGATGGCGGCGGTCATCAGCAGCGTGAGGCCGCTCACCTTGCCTATCTCGTACGTCGCGTCGGCCCGCCCGCCGCCCTCGAGCCACGCCAGCACCGCCTCCTCCTCGCCTCGCTCAGCCGCTGCCACGACCTCGTCGGAACAGCTCAGGGATCCTGCGCCGCTGCTAAGCTCGCGTGCCCCAGGGGGGCTGCTGCCAAGCACCTGATCACTCACCATCGCTGGGTTCCGGATTCCAACTTTTTGCGGGGTAAGGTATGGTTCTGTCAGGGCCAAAAGGGTGGGGGGGTATGGTCCTGCTGGCCAGAGGCGACGTCCTGTGCGGGTGGGGGGGTATGGTCGCGGCGCCAGGGCCCTGACCCTACCATACCCTACCCCCTAAAAACCTCGAATCCAGACTGTGAGAGCCCCTCTCTCGAGGTTCTCGAGGTGGATATCCTTTGGCCGCGTTGGGAGCCCCAAGCAAAGCCGCCCTGCAGCTCGTTGGCAGTCCTCGTTTTCGACTTTGGCCGCCCCGCGTCGGCCAGGTGCGTGCTAGCCGCAAATAACGCTTTTTGGCCAGCGCCAGGTCTCATCGCGACACACGCGACACGTATACACAAACAAGCCGACTCCCCACCCAGCCTGTCAGCTCACCACCTCGCCTTCCCTGCCGCTCTCCCGGCCCAGCTCTGCCAGGAGGCGTGTGGATGTGTCCCAAACCGCACTTATCTTGGGTGATGAAGCTCACTATGGGTCTATGGCTCATACCACGGCTCTTCCGGCCTCATACACACGTGTTTCTCACTCTCACGCACCGCCGGCACGCACTTGAGCGAGTGACGGGTAATCGTGGCCGTGGCCAAGAAAATCAAAATATTAAGCTCTCTGTTTGGACGGCGAAAAACTCGACGGTTTTGGGCGTTTCAGAGCACGCTGAATCGATTGGCTAAGCTAGCACTCTCCCTCTCCCTTTCCTTTCATAATTATTGACTCAAAACTCGATGATCGCGCGACTTTGGAGAAGTGCTAGCTTAGCCAAAACGTTCCTCTCGAAAAATTGACTTAGGGAGCCGCGCCATAGCCCGCCGCGGATACCGCGAAAAAAATCGGCCAGACCAGGGATTTGATCTTGGGTCCGTTGTGCTTATATGTGAGAGAGAGAGAGAGATTCTCTGGAGATTTTCGGAATTATACTATCTGTGCGTGCAGGTGCATGGTGGTGGGGTGCGGGGCTGCTCAAAAGCTCATGCAACGTCACTGCATCCTCCGCCGGTTCCTCCCGTCGCCTCTTCTCTTTGTTCGAATGTTTTTCAATCCATCCTTCACGAAGCCCTCCCATGTAGCTAGCGTTCTTTGCGAATGTCTCGAGATGGCCAGCAGGCGCTGTCTGCTCGCGGCCTGTGCGGGCCGCTCGTCCTCCTCGCCCTTCTTTCGTCCTCTCCCGTCCCGCCTCCCCTCCACCATGGCCTCCTCGGTACTTCTTTCTCCATCCGCCTCGCCCTGCCTTTTCGTATCTGTGAATAGTGTGGGGAGCGAGTAGACAGCCGAACGGGGGTTTTCCCCGACCCCCCCGAGGTCGGCCTGCGACCTCCGAGAGGTCTTGCGCCGCTGCACCCGCCGGGTTTTGCGAGCCCGGAAACGCGCTGAAAAGTAGGCGAGGATATGCGCCCCCATTCCGCATTCGGCATCGGCAGGGCCAGTGGAGGGGCGGGGTACTTGGCGCGCAGCCGGACGCAACGCAGGTCTTCGCCCAGACGATGGCAGCGTGCCCCCCCCCCCCCCC